CACTTACCATTGGGTCATTTTTGCCCTCATCATTGCTGTCATAGGGGGCAGGCTGCTGCTCCCTCTGGGCTGGGGTTCCCGCTCTCTGACTTGAACGGGGGTGGGGGAGAGACCTCAATGGCCTGGTGCACCAAGCTTGACTTCTTCCAACCCTTCTGCAGTGGCTTTTTTGGCTTAGACGATGCAGCTGGGACGAATAAGGGAGCTGGGAGTGGGAGGCACTGTGTTACAGTGGTTCTCCTATCTCTCTGGTCGGTCACAGTCGGTGTTGGTAGGAGGACAGAGGTCGACCCCTAGGCCCCTCATTTGTGGGGTGCCTCAGGGCTCGGTCCCCTCTCCCCTCCTATTTAACATCTACTTGAAGCCACTGGGTGAGATCATCCAACAACACGGGGTGAGGTATCAGCAATACGCGGATGATACCCAGATGTATATCTCTACCCCGTGTCAATTCAGTGAGGCGGTGGATGTGATGTGCCGATGCCTGGAGGCTGTGAGGGTCTGGATGGGAGTCAACAGGCTCAGACTTAACCCAGACAAGACCGAGTGGCTGTGGGTATTGCCTTCTAAAGACTATGTTGATTGTCCATCCTTGGTTCTGGGGGGGGGAGAAATTGTCCCCCTCAGAATGGGCTCTCAATTTGGGTGTACTCCTAGACTCACAGCTAAGATTAGAGCAACATCTGACAGCTGTGGCTAGGGGGACCTTTGCACAGGTTCGCCTGGTACACCAATTGCGACCCTACTTGGATCGGGAGGCTCTCCTCACAGTCACTCATGCCCTTGTCACTTCACGGTTAGATTATTGCAACACGCTCTACATGGGGCTACCCTTGAAAAGTGTTCGGAGACTACAGTTGGTCCAGAAAGCAGCCGCGCAAGCTGTCGTGGGTGCACCTAGATACATCCACATTACACCAATTCTCCGCAAGCTGCACTGGCTCCCTATTGGTCTCCGATCACAATTCAAGGTATTGGTTATTACCTTTAAGGCCCTACATGGCTCAGGGCCAGGTTATCTTCGAGACCGCCTTCTGCCTCATAGCTCCTAGCGACCGGTAAGATCCCACAGAGTTGGTCTCCTCCAGGTCCCGTCAGCTAAACAATGCTGGCTGGCGGGCCCATGGGGGAGGGCCTTCTCTGTGGCTGCCCCAGCTCTCTGGAACCAGTTACTTCCTGAGGTGTGGACCATCCCCACCCTATTGGCCTTCCGAAAAGCTGTGAAGACCTGGCTTTTCTGGCAGGCCTGGGGCCGTTGATCTCGCTCTTGTGATCTAGCGAGATCCGGCCATGAATGGCGTGAATGAATTTTTAATGTTTTTAATGTTTTTAATTTTTAAATGTTTTTTTTATAATGATTTTTTAAAATGTATTGTGAGCCGCCCTGAGTCTTCAGAGAGGGGTGGCATATAAATTGAATTAATTAAATTAAATTAAACTTTCATCTGGGGTGTTGGTGCCAGGCACTCAGTGGTTCAATGACTTTCCTGGCCACATCTGAAGCACTTGATGGGGGCTCGGGCTGGAACAAGAGGGGGTCAGTGGGCGGCATGGTGACAGGTCAGTGTCCAAATCAGCAACCCTCTTGCATCTACTTGGGCTGCAATTCGGGTGCGCTGTGCTTCTTGCACTGCTTGAGTTCGAAGTCCATCACTATGGCCATCCGATACCAGTCATGGATTCACTTGGGGACCCCTGAGTAAACACAAGCCTGTAGTAGTTTTCAGTCCAGGCCCTCCTTAAAGTAGTAGGCCAACAGTTGGTCTGGCCAGTCTCTCAGTTTGCTGACCACTCTGTGGAACTCCCATACATACTCCTTCACCATTTGGCCCCTCTGCTTTAGGTCTCGGATTTTGGCTTCCACTTGCAAGGCTTGGGACTCATCCTCGAATCTGGCTATCAGTTCCCCCATGAATGCTCTGACATTCCCCAACTCTGGCTCATCTTCATCATCATCCACTCTGCGGCTTCCCCCTCCAGGTTCATGGTCACAGCACTTACCATTGCCATGTCTGATGGGTAGGCTGGGCCATAGCAGGCCAGGTGGGTCCACACCTGGCTGAGGAAGAACGCCAATTTCTCTGAGTCTCTGTGGCCTTCCTGGGTGGCAGGTCTGCCACTGATGGAGGAGGAGGGAGTGCCCACAGACCAGGGAACTAACCAGGCCATGGATAGTAAGGCCACAGTGGGTACCTGTGCCATCCAGGAGGAGGCTGAGGTTGCCCCACCAAACCTGCTGTTGGCTGCTGCCTTGGAGTGCTCAGCTTGGACTCACTGCCCTGGCTGATTGGGGAAGCAGGCTGGCTGCTCGTGCCATTGAGGTTGAGCTCTGTCCCTGGCAGGTCAGCAGTGGCTTGATGCATCAGCTCCACTTCTTGTATCTCCATGCAGTCGAATGTCTCCCTCAACTGCTCTACCTATGGGCTGTGAAGGGTGGTCAGGTACTCTCATTCCCTGTGCTCATCCCACTCAGAGTTTGTTTTCGCTTTCCATCTCAGGACTAGAGCAGCCAGCAACCAAGGGGACCTCGGGAAATTTCACTTCAGTGGCCTTTGGCATCCACTTGCACCCAGCACCCACCTCCGCTTGGTAAAGGTCCTTGGTGGCTAGGGCTTCCTCCTGAGTCACTGGCTTCTCAGTCTTTTCCACATGAACCTTCAGCCTGGCCATCAGTGGGAGGGCCACCTCACCGGAGCGACTTGACTACAGCATGATCCCAGCCGGGGCAGCACTAGGGTTAGTGGTTGCTTCCCCCATTTTCTCCCTCTCCAATCTTTCCTGATTCTTTTGCACCCCTCCGGTGTTGACAGGAGGGCAGTTGGGGCTCAGGACCCCAGGTAGGTTTATGAAATTTGGTTTAATGTCAAGGCTCTGACTAATGAACCCAAGCAGATCAGAACTCTGAGACTTGGCTCTTTCTTAAAGGTTTTCTTTAATGAGAACATCTTATCAGCACAGCTTCAATGGAAAACCAAATCTAAATCTTTCCTGCAGTTTCAGTATAATTAAACTAGGAAATAACCCCATCCCCAAGTGTCACAGATCACATTGGCCAATTGGGTTAATTGGCAGGGTCTTCAGGCACTCCTTCCCCAACCTTATCTGTTGCCAGTAGAGACAACCTTAGTTCTCAGGAGAAAGTTCTTTGTTGTGTCTAGTAATGCATTCCAACCTCCTTCCCCCTCTGTGTGGCAACTGAAGAATAGAAAGATGACTGCAGCCAGGTCCAGTTCAAAGTTGACAGCATAATTTGCAACTGTTCATTCCATTTTTCTATCAAATACAACCATGTTTTAATACATTAATTTTCAATATCTTTGTTTCATCATGGAATCTATTTTTTCTGGAACACATTTGGGTTCTCAGTCAATAATTTCATACTTCTAACATCATCCCAAGGATTCCTTATACATTAAAGATTTACACATTTTTGTCTTACTCTTTTTTCACTGCTGAATCATTCATTAAACATTCCATGCTTACACTCATGCATGCTATACTTGTGTTCAATATCCATATTCACAGAGAACATTCCACAATTGTTTTATCATACACTGTCTCAAAATCAACAAGTGTTCCACACATTTTCTTTCTCACATTCATACTTTACTCAATGACTTGCTGAAGAGCATAAATCTGAACTACACATTTCCTGAGCATTCACTTCTCCAATTTTCCCTTTTTATAGTATAAACAAATCATAATAGCATTGTTCTACTTGGTGAGCACTGATATAATCTCTACTTATTTGTTAAAGACAACACACAGCCACAATAGTCATGTTCATGTTCATGTGTTAAGATTTCTTCAGTTACATCTTCTACACAAGTAGCCATTCTTCAACATTCTCATAATACTTATATCTTTTATAGCATCTTTATTTATGTATTTTATTTATTTATTAAATTTATATGCTGCTCATCTTACTGCAAGGGAGTTCTTCATTAATTCTATAACATTTATCACATTTGTTTCAAATTTATTCTTTGACTTATCAATATTGCTATCATACAGATTAATAAAATATTCCTTCAAACAATAATTTCATTTCATTTTTTTACCAAATCATTTCTCTGCTTTTATTTTTAATTTAACTGGTTCCATTGGAGACTCCTTGTTTAGTCCTATGTAGCCATTTTTAAAACAGATTTTATTTCTATGACAATCACTGCTTTTCTCTTCATCCAATTTTTATTCTATTGAGAGATGAATATAACTTTTCACATAGGATGTGTACTTTTTATTCCTATAGTCATTTGATTTTCTTTCAGATACGTAGACAAAATAGATCCATCTTACATTTAGAACTTTTACTCTTCTTTCAGTCCTTCACTAATTTACAGAGTTTTGTATCATAAAAGATCAAATTAATAATACTTTTTGATATTTATACAATCTTTCAATATGGATGCACATGTGTGCACATGATTTATTATGCTTACACTCATTAAACTTTCATTACACTCATTATTGAATCTCTAAATGACTAAAACATTTTTTTCTGTATTCTTTCAATTTGTTCCCACCCATTTATTCATAGCACCTACTAAAATAATGTTTCCCTTTGATTTTTTAAAATAACTTCCAGAATATTAATACAGAGAGAGAATTAGAATATTAGCAAGGCTTCTTCCTGAAGTTTGATAGGCATTCAAATATAAATTTTGGAGAAAGGGAAACTGTAAAATAAAGGATGTGAATTAATGTTGCATGTGGCATCTCTTAAACTCCCCTTGATCTTGTATTTTATTTTCACAAGATTTGTGTTATGGGCAATAATACTATTCAACGCTGTATTTAAATGTCATAAATACAATTGTCAATTTTTAATTCAAGTGGGCTTGGATCCAGATTAGACATATGTAGGCTGTACATCTCATTTTGAGAAGAAACTGTGGATAACATTTTAATTCATATACATGTTTCTATATTAAAATATTATTACATCCCTTTCCATTTCTCTGATTTGAGATTGGTGGTTTTTTTGTATTCTGTTATAGAACTTAGTGTTCCAAGAATCAACATCTTGTGGATGCAGAACCTTTAAACCGAAGGCCCAGTTTTGTTGACACTGAAGTTGCCTCCGTGTATGTGTATGTTTGTGTGTGTTACTGGAAATCACTGACTGCTCAGATGGATCGCCTGGAATTGCAGAAAGTCAACACAGAACTTGATGAAGAGAGCAACAGTGGAGACAGCACTGAAGACAATGATGCAGATATGGTTGATCCAGAGAAGGCTACTATTAGCAGGTAGAAAGCAATGTAGTTGCAGAAAGTACAAGACCAAAACATGTTAGAAAAGTACTAGAATTTCATTGGAGGAAGTCAAATGATTAAATAATTGATATTGCTGAAAATGAAAATGTCTGTTTCTGCTTTTCCTGTAAAAGGCAACACCTGTATTTCTGGAAAGGGATTTTTCCCACCTATATATAAAAAGAAATCTGCAAATTTGCCTGCACAGTTTAACACTTATTCTTAGTGTTTTGTCCAACACTTTGTTAATTTATTATTAATGTTTTCTCTGAGGATTCTCATTATTACTCTCAAACTGAACACACATAAAAGTTAATATTTGAAGTGACAGGAACTAGTGCTCATTTTCAAATGACTGTCTTTCCTTGAAACCTGTTTAATGATTTGGACAATACATTTGATTTTAAACTATTAAGCTTAAAACTATTAAGCTTTACTGCTGGAACTGTGTAATACAGGTAGTCCTTGACTTAGAACCATTCATTTAGCGACTGTTTAAAGTTAATCTGCACTGAAAAAAAGGGATTTGTGACCAATCCTCACACTTATGACTGTTGCAGCATCCTCATACTCAGGTCATCAAAATTTGGGCATTTGGCAACTGGCATGTATTTAGAATGGCTCAGCATCCCAAAGTCATGTAATCACTATTTTCAACCTTCCCAGCCAACTTCCAAAAAACACTCAATGGGTAAACAATGTCAGGCACAAAGGATCAGGATTATACATCAAATTGCAGCACAGAAGATTTAGTTAAGCTTTCACACAAGAATCTGGTCAATTAACAGTCAACACTAAATTGGCACTAAATAAGGGTTAAAGGAATTCAAGGGGAGTTGGACTTGGATCATTGGTGGCAATTTAAAGACTATAAACTGATGACACATTTAATTCCACCTCCTCACCTCTACCTGCTCTTCTCCTGTAAAGCCAGATCTGCTTAGTAGCTGTGAGATTCACTTAACAACTGTGGCAAAAAGGTTGTAAAATCTTTACTTTACCTACTGGCATGATTTACTTAACAATCACCTTGTTTAGGTTTAAACCTAAACTTTAGGTTAAGTTTAGTTTTAGCAATAAAAAATTGTTCCCAATTGTGATCATAGGTTGAGAACTACATGTATTGCCTCCTTTTCCCAACAGTTAATCTGTTTCCTGTTACAATTTATATTGTCCTCTTTACTAAATTTTAAGATTAACAGCCTCAGTAGTCAAAATGGTTTATCTGGCACTAAGAAAATTACATCTGTGCTGGCTGTTTATTTTATTTCTGTCATGTTCCCATGTTATTTTATGTTATTTAAAGTTGGTCAGAACAATGTAAAATTATTTCATTTTATTTTATTTTAATTATAAAGACTTTGCTTTTTCTCACCTTTCAGCCACTTTGTTGGTGATGATGCAGAAAGCCAGAAGTTTCTTGCTAATGGCTTCCTGGGTAAAAAGAAAATGGAAAGTTATACAGATGAATATGTAAGTTTATTAGCAACAGTTATGTTGTAGGCCTGTCTGTGGTGAAGTGGTACAATTAATACATCCTCATTGTTGTTTTTTTTCCTCAACAGCATCCAGGAAATATTTCATTTGGTATTTCGGCATTTAATTTAAGCAATGCCATCATGGGCAGTGGTATTTTAGGGCTATCCTATGCCATGGCCAACACCGGAATTGTCCTTTTTATGTAAGTAGTAAGCTATGGTTTTTTAAAAAATGGTGAGGAAAATTAGAAGTATCTGATTTTGTGCCATAAATTTCTTTAATCAATACATTTTATTGTTAGTCTAGTCATAGGATAAAAGACTCACCCCCTATTTCTATGGAGATTCTCAGTCATCCAGGTCATGGTTGTCCCAAAGGTGCTTTTTCAAGAGGCAACTGGACGTTCTACTTTTTCTTTGAAGATGTTTAGCTTCAGAACTGCAGAAGCTTCTAGGATGAGAAGAGAAACGTCTTCAAAGAAAAAGCAGAACATCCAGTTGCCTCTTGAAAAAGCACTCGCCCCTTATTCAATTGGTTAATACTAAAGTATTACTAATCCACTTTTAAAGGAATTGGGAGACAATACAAACATGAAGCATTCTCATTTGATGAGAACTCTGTGTATTTTGTGCACAGGACAAATACAGAGTACAAAAGAAGTTAACAGGAGAAGCAATCCAAATAAATCCTAATATAATCTTGTTATGAATTCTCTTAACATATGAGAAACAATAAGATAGTAATTTACTGTATACAAACCTGGACGTGGCAGAATTCACTTATTTGGTACTGTGGCAAACAGCACACATAATAGTAAAATCCAATATCATTTCAGTTTTTGGGGCAAATCCAAACATACCTTATATACTTAACAATCTATATCTGTTGATAAATGGTAGCTCTCTCTGTTTTTCTCAAATGGAAAAAAGGGAGCCAAAAGTAAGTAATTTAGAACAGATATTGATATCCTATTAATTAGATAGCTTGCACGATGATGGGGCCACAGGAGATTTTGCTTGAACTGTATAACCCTCAATCTGAAACTGTAACATGTAGATATAGATTTCTGTCCAATATCTTACTATGCCAAATGTTCTAGCAATGCTGACAGTAGTGACATACAGCTGACCTACACTATCTATACAGTGTATCCTTTGACGTACAACAGCAGACGTTTATGAGCAAGTTTTAACTATAGTTAGATCTATCAAAGCAGGAGACAACTTTTAAAGCTGTTCCATTCAGCAAATGATTACAATTGTTTCAATCATGATGTTTAATTTGGAAATGATTGAAATAATTGGATTTGATGACTGGTCTACCAACAAATATACTCTCAATACTCTCAGTATTTAAGACTAAAAAATTGATGAAACAAATGTTCAGCAACAGGATAGTGAAGTTTTTAATCCTTTATTAAAAATTTAAAAATAATTGATGCTCAATCTAGACTGGATTCTAGATTGAGACAGGGTTTAGACATGAAAGGAAAAAAAAGGAAATAGATGCAGTTTATCAATGATTTTGTAACAGTAAAGGATAATTTTATCCAGGAAAAAATGTGTCATAAAGATATTTATGTTAGTGTTCTTAGTTTGGATCAGTGGTGGATTGCTCCCGGTTCGCACTGGTTCTATAGAATCGGTAGTAAAACCGACGGGAGGCTCTGCCCACTGACCCCGGCATCATCAAAATGCTTCTGCGCATACGCGCGCACGAGAGAGCAAATCGAGCGTGTGGCCCCGTTGCAAACGAATAGTAAAGGTAAGTAGAACCCACCCCTGGTTTGGATAATAATTCAGTATCATAATCAGAAGAGCATAGATAAGCTTTGGAACAAACGTTTTCCCATCGAACCCTTCCTCCCTCACACCATCAGCAGCCTGTGAAAAATTTAGCACAAAAATTTTGACTTAAACCAAACAAGAATTCCCAATTATGCCTCCACTAGTCAACTACAACTTAATATCAGTTAACAATCAGGAAGTATAAGCAGGAGTATGAACAAATATCCATATAGAGCCACTATGTCCATATCAGCAAATCTGATGGTTTTTCTTATAGTGTTGTCTAAAAATGATAAAAGTAAAGAGATTTTTATTTAAAAAAAAATAAATCCACAAATTTGATTTTAAAAAATGTTAAAATGTTAAACCCTTAAGTACTATATATTCAGTAGTGGGATTCAAATAATTTAACAACCGGTTCTCTGCTGGGTAGGTAAGGCTAAGTGGTCATGTGACTGGGTGGGCGTGGCCAACTTGACATCATTCACCATGGCTGGCCCCACCTCTCCGCTCAACAAGATACAATCTCTATTTACTGAACATCACTTAACAGTGGCAAGGAAAATCATAAAACAGGGCAAAACTCACTTAAAGCTTGCTTAGCAATGGAAATTGTGGTTCAGTTGTGGCCATAAATTGAGGACTACCCCTAGTGAGAATGTAGGATAAGGAGCCTACCTTCCTCACCCCTTTGGGGTGACTTTCAAGAAACATTTCAAGATGAAAGGTTTTGGGTGCAAGTGGTGGTGGTGGTGTCACCAAAGCTGGTGTCGATTGCTGGGGCAGCCGCACTCAGCCGAGGGCCACCAGAGGGAGGTGGGGAATCTGAATGAGGGCAACGCTCCTGGTGAGAAAGCTCTTTGGTTGCTTCTCACGCAAGGAGACAGGTGCTACCCAGCTGCCTTGGGAGCGAGAGGGAATAAAGAGGCCACTCGGCAGGCCAAATATTCCCTCACTCGCTTACTAGAACTGGAAAGCCTTTATTCGTAATTGTTTTTTCATTTATATTTCCAATTTCCATATGTCTTTCAGAATCTTACTCTTCAGTGTAGCACTAATGTCACTCTATTCAGTACATCTATTACTGAAGACAGCCAAAGAAGGAGGTATGATTTACTTAATATGGGGAGGGGGGCAACATTTTAAATAAGTATATTCTAACTCATTGAATATCAGGCTCCCCATTCTGACACTCAATAACCATAATTATTTTTACTACACATTATCATCAGTGCTATCATTCTACCAAGAAGATCCTCAAAATGACAATGTAGTGTTGTTAGCTTCAGAAATTGACAATGAACATTTACTAGAAACTTCTTAAATGTATCATGACAATGATTCTCAACCTTTCTTTCCCCATGGACCCCCTTTAAATGCCTTTTGTGCCACAGACCCACAAGACATAACTCAAGATTTAAGTCATAACATTTCTTCAAGCCTTCATGGATCTCCAACCTTTGCTTCGTTGCGAAGGTTGTTGAGAGTGTGGTTGCGCGACAGCTACCCCAGTACCTGGATGAAACGTCGTATCTAGATCCGTTCCAGTCGGGCTTCAGGCCTGGGTACAGCACGGAAACGGCATTGGTCGCGTTGGTTGATGATCTCTGGAGGGCTCGGGACAGCGGTTGTTCCTCTGTCCTGGTCCTGTTAGACCTCTCAGCGGCTTTTGATACCATCGACCATGGTATCATGCTGCACCGGCTGGAAGGGTTGGGGGTGGGAGGCACCGTTTTACGGTGGTTCTCCTCCTTTCTCTCTGACCGGTCGCAGTCTGTGTTGACAGGGGGGCAGAGATCGACCCCGAGGCCCCTTTTATGTGGGGTGCCACAGGGATCGGTTCTCTCGCCCCTTCTGTTCAACATTTATGTAAAGCCGCTGGGCGAGATCATCCGTGGTTTCGGGGTGAAGTACCATCTGTACGCTGATGACACCCAGCTGTACATCTCCACCCCGGACCACCCCAACGATGCCCTTGAAGTGATGTCCCAGTGCCTGGAGGCCGTACGGATCTGGATGGGGAGAAACGGGCTCAGGCTCAACCCATCCAAGACCGAGTGGCTGTGGTTTCCGACGTCCCGATATAGTCAGCTGGCGCCATCGCTGGCTATTGGGGGCGAATCATTGGCCCCCACGGAAAGGGCTCGTAACTTGGGCGTCCTCCTGGACTCACGGCTGTCTTTAGAAGAGCACTTGACGGCTGTGACCGGGAGGATTTTTCATCAGGTTCGCCTGATTCGCCAGTTGCGTCCCTTTCTAGATCGGGACTCGTTACGCACAGTCACTCATGCCCTCGTCACCTCTCGTCTGGACTATTGTAATGCTCTCTACATGGGGCTCCCCTTGAGGTGCACCCGGAGGCTCCAACTGGCGCAGAGTGCGGCCGCGCGGGTGGTTATGGGAGCAACATGGAGCTCCCATGTAACACCTCTCCTGCGCGAGCTGCACTGGCTCCCGGTGGTCTTCCGGGTGCGCTTCAAGGTTCTGGTTACCACCTTTAAAGCGCTCCATGGCTTGGGACCTGGTTACTTACGGGACCGCCTACTACCATCAACAGCCTCCCACCGACCAGTACGCTCCCACAGAGAGGGGCTCCTCCAGGTGCCGTCGGCCAAACAATGTCGGCTGTCGGCCCCTAGGGGGAGAGCCTTCTCTGTGGGGGCACCGACGATGTGGAATGAGCTCCCCCCAGAGATACGGAGGATTCCGGATCTGCGCACCTTCCGCTGCGAGTTGAAGACGCTTTTATTTCATCAAGCTGGCCTCGCCTAAATCTTCTCCCTTTTGAGTGTAAATTCTAAATTTTTAATGGATTTTAAAATATGGGTATTTTAAATTATGGGTATTAATTCAGCCAAATTTATTTAATTCATTTTATTCGATTTTAAATTTTGTATATCTATGTGTTTTATTTCATGGCTGTGCACTGCCCTGAGACCTTCGGGAGTAGGGCGGTATAGAAATTCAATAATAAATAAATAAATAAATAAAAATCTCCTATGATTACATTGTAGTCCCCGGAGTTTCCACAGACCATAGGTTGATAACCACTGTATCTTGGGAATCAGATGCAGCCAAAAGAATGTTCAGGTTCTATGTCCTTTCATTTCAAAATGGGACTTCATCCTTAGGATACTTTACCCAAAGTCTTCCTAAATCCTAAATCAGAGCCAGCATTGAATGGTAGCACAGTAACATTTTAGTCAAGTTTTACCCTTTCCTAATTTTAGTGGGAAAATATTAAGTATGTACCTATTTTAAATTAACCAGTGAGCTGTCATAAAGAGTCAAATCAAAACCAATGGATCAAATACTTTGTACTAAAATGTTCCATTTCTTGTTGTTCCTAGGCTCGCTAATATATGAAAAACTAGGTGAAAAGGCATTCGGATGGCCTGGAAAAATTGGTGCTTTTGTTTCTCTCACAATGCAGAATATTGGAGGTAAATTGGAAATGACAGTTGAGAAAGTTTAAAATAAGAATGTTTTGTCTAATGATAAAAATTGGAAACAGTTGTCCACCGCTGATATCATTGTAATCTTGAATTAGATTTAATAAAAATAAATTACTTAATTGTTTTAAGAAAAGTTTTTTTTATTTTTAAACAGACAGACAAACATAGAATACATCTTTTCTGAACAGAACATTGATCTGGTCATAAATTTGTACAAATTTTTGTTCATCTTTAATACAATTTTATACATTCAATTTTTAGCATAACGTCTATTTCTCTCTAATTTTAAAAAATCTAATGTTACCCTTCATCTTAACTTAATTCTATTTTTTTCTTTTTCCTCCCTAAAATTTGATCCCCTTAATTTGCATTGAAACAGCATACCATCTCCAATTATTTATCAAATGTACCAAATAATACAATTATTTCACATTTCTACATCATTCAACATATTAATAAAAGCCAATTAAATCTAAATCTTACCCCCAATATGACAACTATTACAGTCTTATATGTTAAACTTATTCATATTTCTAAATCTTATTGCAATTTTTAAACTTCCATACATTTTTGCCCTTCCTCTTAACTTCTATTCCTAATATAATTCAATTTTCCTTTTTCTTCCCTAAAATTTGAACCCTTAAATTTGCATTTACACAACATAATATCATCTCCAATTTATTTATCTAATATTCCAAATAATACAATTATTTCAGGTTTTTGTTATGGTTTCCCTAATTAATTAAGAGTAGTCAATAGAAAATCAATTAAATAAAAATATTAATTCAAATAATACACCATAATGCAATTCCCAATCATTTCCTTAAATTCTCTCTATTCCCAATAGTACAATTCAACAACTTTATAGAAACCAAATAAGTATGATTTTTTTCTACTTAGTTCATTGTCCCATATCATTTCAACTTTCTTTTCTTTTTTAGTTCAATTCCAAATATATAATTAAAAATATTCCAATTATTACCATTTCCCTAATTACTTAAAACTATCCCAATTATTACATTCATCATACATACATATGTTAAATTGCTTAATTAATATCACAATTCACCCTTTCCATTTTTGTATTTTTTTTCTTTCTCTTTCCTTTCTTTCGTGCTTTAAATTCCTGAACTCTCCTCCCTTTTTCTTATCTTTCTACTGTTAATTTCCATTGTCTTCCCAGTGTAATCATTTTGTCTTTTAAAGTCATAAACTCTTCTGTTTTGCCCTGTTTGCATTTCTCCTTATTTTCCACCCCTTTTCTCCTTTTCTTATTTTCCCACTGATAATCCCAGCGTAATTATTTTATATATATATTTATTTATTTCTTTTGATTCATAGGTATAAATGTGCGATATTTTTGCAATTATATATATATAATTTGATTTATATGCTGCCCTTCTCCAGAGACTCAGGGCGGCTTACAATGCATTAAGCAATAGCCTTGATGTTAATAACAGTGCTTTAGTGCTTTAGTCTGCTGCGCCACCAGGCTCCTGGTATATTCTTTCTATTCCGCCCTCTTTTTCTTTGCTTCTTTCCCCCTTTTCTGTTTCTTCCCTTATTAATCTTAATGTAACCTCTGAAATTCTCTTTTTTATTACTAGCCCCATAATCATTTAGTTTTCCATAGTCAATCTCTTTGTCTTTGTCTTCTTCTTTATTATCACTCTCTTTTTCTTGCTTCTCCTTAATTATTTCCTTGTCAATCAATCTTTTAGTTCATCAGGTTTCGATTTTCCATGCAATATTATAGTCATTTCCCTTATTTCCATCTTTAATGATAAGTACATTGTTTTCATCATTTCCTTAAATTCCTCCATTTTGTACTTTTTCAGTTAATATTATTCCATTTTCAAATTGTGTTGTAATCTTCCTTCTTTAATCATCAAAGTCACACTTATAAACAAACCAAGCCTCCTTAAAAATTCACAGCTGTGTCTTTCAAAGTTCAAGGTTTATTATTCTTTTTTTTCCAAAACAGAAATTCAGCATTGTAATGGTCTTTTTTTTTCCTTCTGAAAATGGCTCTCTATAATCCACAATTGCAATCAGCAACCTAGAAAAGTATCAATTTTATTTGCAATCCACATTGAACAGTCTTTGCTTGTTTAATTTTCCTTCTTCTTCCTTTTCATTTTTATATGCACCAAATCAGTTTAAAAACTTGGACCAAATTTACACAGTCCAAATTCCAACTTTACTTTCCAAATCAATTTCAATTTAAAATCTTTAACCAATCCTTTCTGCGGGCTTTTCTTCCCTCTTTAAACTTCTTTTAAGGTTCACTAATTAAGGAAAAATCTTTCCAGTTGTCAATTCTTCTAATTTTTTTTTTAAGTTCTCCAAATATTTGAATCCAGCACACAATTTTCTAATCGGGGTTTTGTTTTTTGTTTTTTTGACTTTGTAGCTTCCGCTTTACTCTTCTTCTTCCGTCCTTTCTCCACACCTATTAGCCGCTGTTAAACCGCTAGGACTTTTATAGTTATTTTAAAAATAGTCCTCTTTTTTCTCTCTCTCTTTCTCTCTCTTCTGCCTGCGATTTAGCTGTCACTCACCCGGCATCGATGTTCTGCTCACTTCTCTGCTCCTGCACAGTGCTTGATCCAGTTGACCCAGCTTAATTGGTGGTACAATGGCCACCGTCCCCCACTGCAGAGTCATTTCTTAATTGTATTGCCAAAATGGTATACAAGTTGCTTGTATAATTTGAATAGCAGCTGAAAACTAATTTTAGAGTAGCTTAACACTTGATACGGAACAATTGAAAAATGACATTTAGAAATGTAAAAATGGTGCATAATTTACATTGTCCAAGTAGCATTTTTCTAACTGAAAATATTGTTTTGTAATTTGGACTATTTATTATATTTGTATGTTGTCTGCATTTGTTATAAGACATTCTGGATTTCCAGCAAATTATAGCATGTCATATGGATTGTGTGATTATAGAAAAGTGTTAATGTATGACAAGCAATTGCTAACGTTTGCATGTGCTTTTAAATGCCTTTAGAGATCATTTTTTTAAAAATATGACCATTTTGATCCTATTTGTTTAGGATCCCTGTCCTATATAGGTACTTTTCAGTGGCGGCAACAACATCACACAAATGTCACAATATACAGTACACTTGTTTCCCAATGTCTTTACAAGTATGTAAACACCCAACATTGTTGCACATGTCTTAGCATTGTTCGTCCTCCCCAATGTGAAATTCACTATGAATAACATTTCTATTTGACTGAAATTTTAATTAACTGAATCTTTTATATGTCCCTTTTCAAGCATCCTATTCAACTAAGATAACATGTTTGTCATTCGCAGCAATGTCAAGCTACCTCTTTATTATTAAGTATGAACTGCCAGAAGTAATCCGAGCATTTTTAGGACTCGAAGATAATTCTGGGTATGTATTTCCTTATGTTTACTTTTATATATTTATTAAAAACCATCTATTTATGAGAATTAATTCATATTTTATTTCCTTAAACTAGAGAATGGTATCTGAATGGCAACTATCTTGTAATATTTGTGAGCATTGGAATTATTCTCCCCCTTTCACTACTAAAAAATTTAGGTAAGGAATTACTTATTCAAATATATAGTTTATCTTTAACTAATAGTAAAGATTGTACTATCATTTTATTTTTCAAATAACTATACATTTACTTATTATTTTTAAAGGTTATCTTGGTTATACAAGTGGATTTTCGCTTACTTGTATGGTATTCTTTGTCAGTGTGGTAAGTGTTTATACCAAATGTAGAGAAAATGTGCACAATCTTTACATCAGTATTCTCTAATTGATCTCCAGAAGATGTTGGAAATAGAAGTTCCAGACATCTAATTCCCACAACATTGTCAAACTATTTAGTAAGGCTGCATTACTATTATTTTTCTAATCTTTCCTATTACCTATCTCCTTTTCTACTTACAACTATAACTTTGTTGCTTGTATCTTTACGACTTATATTATTTTATTTAGTTTCCTAGTATGATTTATGTTGCTTGCTTATTTAGTATCCTATGATTATCACTAAGCATTTAACTTATGATTTATGATAAATGTATTTTTATGATGACTATGATCATGATTTATCACTTATAGCTTTTATGTACACTGAGGGCTTATGCACCGAAGACAAATTCCTTGTGTGTCCAATCACACTTGGCCAATAAAGAATTCTATTCTATTCTATTCTATTCTATTCTATTCTATTCTATTCTATTCTATTCTATTCTATTCTATTCTATTCTAGACACTACTTTGAATGCTCTGTTGTAAATTATTTGTGCATGCATTAAAATGGCAATAAGGAGTTGATGGGCACATCAGTGGTTCCATCTTTTTTGTGAAATTTTCTCCATTTGTCACCAGATAAACTAGAGCTATTGTGAAATGAACCATGGCACTATAAATAGAGACTAAGTAGTGGTGTAAACTATATTACACTGGTTAATTTGTTTTCCAATTCTACATTTAGCAAAATTAGCTAGAATTCTTTGAGGAACTGTCACCTGTGCAGTTCTTTTTCTTTTTCTTTTGCAAAATTAAGGGTAGGAAATCTTTTTGGAAGCAAACCTTTTCATTACCATTCTTAACCTCTCCAAACACAAAACATGATCCAATATCACACTGAAATGTGGCTATTTGGTACTGAAAATCAACAGTGTGATAATTGAAGCATTGGTTTTCCCAATCCAATTGATATCTTTTCTGTCCCCAAATATTAAAGCACCCCAAATTTAGCCCTGTCTCCTCCTCTAATGCCAAAATTATCTTTTATAATCTTCTGAGAATATTGGGAGGTGAAGATGTGGTCATGATCTCTCAATTACCATCTAATCCTGGAATATTATGTAGCAGCAGTACTATTAATAGCTTGAGAAGTAACACAGCATAATAACTCAATCTTGATTAGGTTGCAAATTTTAATATGTTATAGATATTTCTGTTTTTATCAACAATAAACCAAATAAGTTCAGGGAAAACTATATATGCAAAGTATTATTTTTGTCTTAGTTACTGATATCCAGGCTGATTTTTCTTTATTGCATTGTTTCTCAAAATGGAAGTATCTCTGCAATTGTAAATTGCATTAAATTAAATTAAAAATTAAAAGATATACTATGTAAACTTTAAAAATAGAGATCATTTCTGGTAAATAATCAATTACTGCATTATTCAAAACCTGTTCATTGGATATTAGTGGTATGATATTCTAGTCACATAATAGCACAAATCAAATTCTGGTACCATGCTACAGTATATGCAAATGTACTTGTTTTACTTTTCTGGCAATGCAACATTGAAATGTAACTTCTGAGAATATGATAGTTGCAATGCTTTATAATGAAATCCAGTGCTTTCTGTGATAAATGAATACATGTATTTTCTTGTTTATATTTATAATAATTTAGGTAATCTACAAGAAATCCCAAATAGCCTGTCCTCTCCCAGTCTTGGACAATAATGTTGGCAACTGGTCCTACAATGATACTGCAGTTCCGCTACATGTAGTGGTGTTACCAAATGATTCTGCTAATTTGGAATTAAATTTGATGATGGACAGCACTAACAAACAATATTCTTCAGTTTTTGAAGAAACCAAAACTAAGCTACATCAAAGTGGAGTAGAATATGAAGCCCATGGAGAAGACAATGACAAATGCCAAGCCAAGTATTTTGTGTTTAACTCACGGGTAAGAACCTGTTATCATGTATCCAACAGAAAATAACCTCTATAAATATTGATCTACTCCATTAAAGAGTGCGTTCTGGAAATTTTAAATATGTAAACTATATTGGTCACTGCTGCAACCTGAATAGTGACCATATCTTGTTGCATCATGGTTAGAAGTATATACAGTAGAAGCAATAGTTCCATAACCAGTGGTGAAATCCAGATTATTTTACTACCGGTTCTGTGGGCGTGGCTTGGTGGGCATGGTGTGGCTTGGTGGGCGTGGCTTGGTGGACATGGCAGGGGAAGGATACTGCAAAATCTCCATTCCCACCCCACTCCAGGGGAAGGATACTGCAAAATCTCCATTCCCTCCCCACTCCTGGGGGAAAGATACTGCAAAACCTCCATTCCCACCCCACTCTGGGGTCAGCCAGAGGTGATATTTGCTGGTTCTCCGAACTGCTCAAAAATTCCGCTACCGGTTCTCCAGAACCTGTCAGAACCTGCTGGATTTCACCCCTGCCCATAACCAATATTGTCCTCATTCACCTACTTTCCAAATTTAACATAAGATATGTTTGAGTCACTTGCTTCCAAAATAGATTTCTAGCTATCTCTTAGTACCTTCTTGGTCTAACTCTGTTCATCTGGGCTTCTGCCTTGCTTAGAGCTTTAACAATATTAATTGTATCATAGCAACCCCTTACAGTGTTCAGGAAATTGAATTCAGGTTGCCCAGGAAAAAGCAAGCCCAGCATTAATCAGAGCTGAAATCCTTGTTTGTTTGTTTTTTTCAGACTGCCTATACAATACCAATTCTGGCATTTGCATTTGTATGCCATCCGGAAGTATTACCTATATACAGTGAACTTAAAAAGTAAGACTATTCACAGATTTCCTCTGACTTTTTTATTTTATAAAGACTGAATTTTTTCCATAGCAAAACATTACTATTTATTATTTCTGTTTCACTTTTCTTTGGTTTATTGTTAATTTCTCATTTCTTTATGTTTTCATTTCACATTGGGACATCTGAGAATGCAATATACATTTTAAAATGGACAGGGAATTAGTACTGTGGTCACAGCTATCATTTTGACTTTTTTTAAAAAATCAAGTTTTATTAGTTTTTCCCCCCCCTCACACACACCTACATATTTTATGAAACAGAGTATTGATCATATCGTATCATATCATATCATATCATATCATATCATATCATATCATATCATATCATATACAACTTGTCATATCCAAATATATTTTACTTAGTTACAATTTCTGCCAGTGTTCTTTTTCCATATTTTTAATCAAATCTTAATATTTCTATTCTTATTTCTATAAACAGTATCTTCTTTCGCCCTCAAATTCAATTTTCTCCATTTTTAATCATATATATTCTCTTTTAATTTTTAATAATTTATTCTTTATCCTAATATATTTAAACATGTTTGGGGATGCCTTTCTTCCATTTCATCTTTTTCGTTTTACAGCAAACTTTCTTCTCTTTCTCTTCCTCTCCCTCCCTTCTTTTATCCTTCCTACTTTCTTCTTTCCTCCTCTCCTACTCCTTCTCTACTTCCCCTTCCTTTCTCCCCTCCTCCTTTCTTCCCCCATCTAACCTTCTCTCCTACTCTTATTTCCCCTTCCTTCCTTCCTTCCTTCCTCTCCTCTTCCCTTTCTTCTATTTCTCTCTCTCCTTCTCCCTTCCTTTACTCTTCCTACTCCTTCTTCCAGCTCTCTCTATTGCTGTATTCATTTTCAATTCAGTGTTTTTTTTTCTATGGTGTCCAGGCATCCCCAATTTTCTCTCCATTTATTGAATATATTCCTCAAGATTTCCATCATGTTTTTTAATTCTTAACAATGTATTTCAACTTATTCCATTTTTACCTTAAAACCTTTTAACTTAATTAACCTTCTATCTCTTATTTTCTTTAATTCCTAATTTCTTATTCCCACTTCAATAATTATTTTTCTCTTTTCCTATTATTTCAATTACTTTCAGTTATTTTTACTTATAAACCATTCTGTATCTGCTGGTCTATTTTACATTAAACAATATACTCCTTTTTAAAAAATCCTTACTTATATTTCATTTCATCTTTACTTACATCATTTACTAACATTTCAATTTTATTTCTTAATTTAAATTAATTCCTTTGTTTTTTTCAATCTTTGGCACACATTTCTTTACCCTCAGCAGGTGTTTCTCTCCAATCCATAAATCACCAGACAACAAAATATAAACCTTTCTATCTTTCACATTGCATCTACCGATCTGTTTTACATTATAAAATATATTTCTTTTTTTTAACTCCTTATACATTTCATTTCATCTTTACTTACATCATTTACTAACATTTCAATTTTATGTCTTAATTTCAATTGAGTATTCCCTTTTACAATAATCTATATATTTATTCCAATTTGTTTCTTACATACAATTTCTACTACTAATACCATTCCCTTAAGTCAACATGTTAATGCTTTAATTCCCTTTCTACTACCTTTTTTCTTCCCCTTTAACCATTTTCTTTTAAACTCTCCAGAATTCCACTTCTTAATATTTTCCTCCCTTTCTCCCATTCTCTTATTTCTTTATTCTTCTTCTTCTTCTTTTTGTATTTATTGTATCTTCTTTCCTGCATCCTTTCTCTAGTTTATTACCCTTTTAATTCTCCCCCTCACTCTTTTCCCATTTTCTTCTCTTTTCTTCTTTTTTGAGAGATATTCCCCCCTATCTATTTTTATTTTATCACTGTTGATCTCAATGTAATCATCTATATTTTTCCTTCAATTATTTTCTTTCCAACATTATATTCTTGCTTCTCACTTATCTTTTCTGTCTCTCTTTTTATATTCTATCCAATCCTCCGCTTCTTTATTTCCCTTAAATGCTTCTCGCACCTTTTGCAACATCTCCCTCAGCCACTCATACTCATATTCCCAATTCTTCATATTGTCAATTTAAGAAGAAATAATTTTTAAATTTATTATTATTTTAGCTATATATAGTTTAAATTCAAGTCCATTTGATGTCTTTTTTCTTTTTTCTTTCCAAGTAGTGTCCAATTCAAATACTCATTTGAGCCATTCCAGTTTGAGATTTTATTCTGTCAACTTCTTTTTTTAATCTTGCTCCAGCTGTTTAAATAAAGACTCCTTAAAAGGCTTCTCACAATGATTTGATGATTTATTACAATACTTCTTTCCCACCAGCAGATGTCTCTCTCCAATCCACAAATCCCCAGGCAAAAGTATCAATTGTAAATCCACATAAGTAGTACTTCCTGTTCTTCAATTAATTCCTTTTGTTGTTAAAAAATGCTTTCTCTCAATTTCCTTTTCTTTATATTATTCTTAATTTCTTCCAAGTCCAATTCTAAATACAGGTGGTTAGTTCTCCTTTTAGGGCTTTTGTTTTTAAAGTTCCTCTTTATTTTTTTTCCTTCACTTTAAATTCCCAAATGACAATTAGCCGTTTATTTTGGGTTGGGACCTCTTTTAAGGTTTAAAAATTTTTTCTTCTTATCTGTGAGTTGGCCAATCACTCACTTGGTAACAATTTCATCACTGCTCCTGCTCAATTCTTAGTCCGGTTGCCCCAGCTTGTAGCAGCCATTTCAATGGCCGCCGCCCCCACTGCCGGGTCAAAGAACTGCCTCCGACCTTTTGAGGAACTTGCCTGCTCTTCCAAGGCGCCTCTCTCTCTCCCCCGTCCCTACAAGACTGATGCAGTCCGAAGACCTCCCCAACAGCGGTTTGTCAGTTTGGGTTTTCACGAAGCTTGATGGAGCTTCGCTATTTCCCAACCAGTATCATCATGACACTTCCGGTTTCTCCATTTTGACTTTTTTGAACCTCCCCAAAAATACCCTTGTTCACATTCTTAATGTCGTATCCAATATATTTTAGGTTTTGCTCAATACATTTTGTACTGTAATAGTAACTTACTGTTTGATTAGTGTACAGGCAGTCTGTGGGTTAAGATCAAACTTGCAGACAATTTGTATTGATGAATAGGCTGCGTATTACTAAAAATGGCAGACAGCCTTCTTCTTTCTCATGTTGACAAACCACTGAAGCTGTGGAATGTTTTCATTAAAATCGCTGAAGCTGCACATTTTTATATACATCCTATTTTCAGTGGGTCATGAAAATATTGCATGGTTAAGAAAATATTTTTCTTAACCATGGATTGCCTCTATAACATCAGGGGAAGATAAGCTTTCTTTGGGACACTGCTAACACTTCTGTTTTTGGAAGTACTCAAAGCTAGTGTGACCATGAAACAACAGATCTTGAATGACAATAACATACAGTAATCCCACCCTCAATCATTTCAGCCAAATTTGTCAGTTATTTCTTCCTACTGGAGGACAAACCTACATTTATCTCCTTTTTCAGCTGGGCTTCCTAAGTAAAACTATTTTCTCAGTTGTGGCATAGGATATTATTCCATTGCCAGCAATGAAGTAAGAGTTAACTGATAATCCTTATGCTTTCTGTGTATAAAATAACTTGAAGAATTGCACCATTTTATTCTTAATCTCAACAGAAAAATAGATTTCAATTATTATACTATTACAATATTAATATTTCTAATCATCCATTAACCAGAGTTCTCTCGAGCCTCCTTAAAAAGAACAAGTATAAACTCCAGGTATTTATTTTTAAATAAAATGAATAAATGAAGTGATATACAGTAAATGACTCAGGAAGAGAGCAAAACATGGTGATGTAGGAAAATTTAAAGTTGTGAAAACTTAAGAATTCATTCCCACTTGACATTATAGTTCCTAAAGTTCCTTTAAACATGATATAAGTCTGGTATAGATTTAATAAGCAAATGAAGCCACTTTGCTGTACTGAATACATGAAAGCTGAAAGAGGGGTTCTTGGTATTCTCTGAGCTTGGTTGTTTTCTTGCAGACGTTTCATTATCCAAACTAGGTAACTTCATCAATGCTACTACTAGGTGTAGCACTTATGATGTTATCTAGTTTGGGTAATGAAATGTCTGCAGAAAAACAACCAAGTTCAGAGAGCACCAAGGACTCCTCATTTCAATCCTGAGCTACAAATATTCTCCTTTAATAGAGCTGAAAGAGCCACAAGGTAATCATCAGTCTCTTTCTCTCCCTCGCAATCTTTCTCATATACACCTAAAGCTACATGAATAAATAAACCTACTAGTAATTAACTGTCCATTGCTGTATTCTTCTCAGCCGATCTCGAAAACGGATGCAAAATGTTTCCAATGTCTCCATCATGGGAATGCTCATCATGTACCTCCTCGCTGCCCTTTTTGGCTATCTTACTTTCTATGGTGAGTTTAAGATGATCTGAAATGTTCAACATATCTGTTCAGGTTTCATATTATTCAGAATCTGTTTGCAAGGAAACAGATTCTTAATAATCCTTGTAATAGCTATTTCCCTTCAGTGGGTTGTTGTTGTTGTTTTTTTAAAAAATCAGTTTTACTTTGCTATCGATAAAATAATTGTGCACAGTAAGGAATATTATTTTACCTGAGCAATTTAAGATATCAACTTCATATGCTAAGATCAAGGTATTGTTTGATTGTCTTCTACCATAGTTTGATTGTTGTTTGATTGTCTTTTACCATAATTAATCCCTAAAACAGGAAACAGATAACTGAATTCTGCCCAACTGCCCTAATGATGAACATATTGCAAATTAGTCTCCATGTTGGGATTTTTGCTGTTTGCTAATTCCAAACTGTTCAATGTGAAGGTACACCACATAATGATGAAATTGCTTGAGAAAACTAATAGAGAATGTTCTTTTTTATTAGGTGAAGTAGAAGATGAGTTGCTTCATACATATAGGAAGGTTTACACCTTTGACACTCTGCTCTTGATGGTTCGTCTTGCAGTTCTTGTGGCTGTGACTCTCACTGTACCAATAGTCCTATTCCCAGTAAGTCATTTTAAGCAAACTTTAAGCAGCCCATCCATGATTGTGCTCTTCCCCACCCCCTTGTAATCCACTTCAAGAAATTCAAGTGTAAAACAGGTCTGTTTTTTTTAAAAAAAATTAATGACAATGTGACATGACATTAAAAATCTTACAGAATATTACAGACAAAAATCTAGAAAGGTAAATTTAAGCACTTAAGGGGGCTATTTCAGATTTTAAAAAATACTTCAGGAATTGAATTAATGATCTTGATCTATTAAAGAAATTGCTCCAATCACCAGAGAACTCAAGACTCATAGTTCCAGTTTAATGTGGTAGCTAGCTATGGCCTCTTCCAAGATACCCCATTCTGAAAAATGAACATATACTAAGCATTATGTGACCATAAGCACATTATCTTCTCTTACATGGGGAAATACTTCCATTGTTGTGTTTTTCCCCTAAAATCCTGTTTAGGGAAATATATTTTGTTATTATCTATGGGTGCTACTATTTTGACTAAACTAAGATCAGCCTTGAGTCTTAAATACTGTTTATAGAAGAAATGCTTGTGGAAAAATTTATAACCTAAAGGAACAGTCTCCATGTTACTAAAATCAGTGAGAAAATAGCTACTGATTGTTTTTATAAACTCCAGGCTGATACTATTTTTTCATGTTTGGCATCTGCACTTAAGACTTCCCCCCCCCCCTTTTAACAAGTCAAGCGACTTCTCTGTAATGTTGACCACTGGAGCTGCTATTAACCTTTTACCTAGTACTTATCCCTGCATCTACATAGCAGCTATAGAAATGCTGAGCAGGCTAAACAGAATCATATATCCACATTTATTTTTCCAGATGTCTCTTGCAGATGGAATGATAGAGTGAAATTATATTTAATAGACATATAGAAGAAGCAAAAGTCCTTGCTTTAGTAAAAGAAGAAATTCTATAAATTTGATTGCTGCAACTATAAAGTGAATATACTGAGATGCTTATGAATAACAGATTTCCTTTATGGATTTCACTGGTAACTATGCTAACATCCTTATCCAAGTCAGATTTCATCAGTATCTTTTTTAATAAGTAGAACTAATAAGTAGAACTTATTTTTGATATCTTCATATTATTTTTAACATTAGATATTCTGCATTGAAGTACATTTTTTTATTTATAAAACCTCGGGATAAAAAGGGCATATTTACAAAGATGTAAAAAGGGGCAAAGGTAAAACATTTCTTGCTACAAAATGTTTAAAGGGCATAATAAAACTAAAATATACTGTTTTTTTTTTATAGATTCGTACATCTCTTACCACACTCTTGTTCCCCAGAAGACCTTTCAGTTGGATAAGACACTTCCTCATTGCTATTGTTATTCTTATATTTAATAATCTTTTAGTCATTTTTGTCCCTACTATTAAGGACATCTTTGGATTCATAGGTATGAATGCTTCCTCTTGCTCTCATTGTTTTAAATAAAGAATATTAACATAGCAACATGTTCATTTTTGGCAAAACTCCTTTCTCTAACCTGGATCTAGAATCCCTGCCAAATTATTGTGGACTCTGAGAAGTTGCTTTTTTCAATAGAAGGGAATGCTGGTAGCTTGGGGTTGGTGCTGGTGGAGCTTGGTTGTTTTCTTGCAGACATTTCAATACCAAACTAGATAACATCATCAGTGCAAAACAACCAAGCTCAGAAAGCTATTTTTAATGCAGAAAGGTAGAGGAGATTCCATCTTTCCATCTTCATGTACTTGTAAGTTGGGAGTCAAAAATGTTAAAATGACAGCCACAACTATTTGACCAAAGTGCCACCCATTTGTTCATGCATCACAATGCAACAGTACAACACCTAGAAAGGAACATTCTTCAATTGTAAAGTAAAGGTAGCCACCTTGATTTTTTCCCAACCACCCTTATGGTCACCCATGCTTCTATTCCTTATAACAGTTAGGAACCTTTCATATAATTATTATTGCATAGAGAAAGTGAAACATCCTCCTCTTGTTCAGATGCCAATCCAGAGAAGACTCCACACAAAATTTCATATAAGATTGGGTCTAGATTTTTAGATTTCAGGATGAAAACTTTTAATTATTTCCACAATTGATCAGGTTTGGAATAATTTTGGAGGAGGGAGGAATATGTAGACTCTAATGTGTTCTAGATTATAAAACCAGAAGACTGACTTTTTAAAATATATTATCAGAGCCTTTCTTCTTTTCTAGCATATCATTTGTAAAGTTTAAAAGTGTTCATTCTTGTATTTTAACTCCTCATTGTGTTTTGGCTTTGGTATTTATAGGCATTGTTATTTTCCTGTCACTACAATCTACTTTGGGAAATATTTGTTGAAAAGCAAACTACAATTCTCAACAAATAGATAGCAATTCACAAGAAAATATCTAATTCTAGAATTTTCTCCATTGTAAGAAATATTTCTTATAGAAAAATAGACCCATAGGTACATTCATAGAAATGTCAGGTATTGTAATAGAAGATTCTCATTGTATATTTTTAACTTCAGGCAATATAATTTACTGGATACCTGATAATGTAGTATTAAAAATGTATGTTCAAAAAACAGTAATTTTAGCTTGGTTTAGTCAGATTGGAACAACAACTATAACATTGAAAATTCAAATTTAGTATTAGGTCTCATGGGCTGTAGCAGTTGTTTCTTACCCAGCATGTGAGAAGAAATATTCAAGGGATCTAATTTAAGTGAAATAGAGGAAGGTTGGATGCAAATGTTTGTTACAAAGCTGGGAATGTTAGAACCTCCAAAATTGGAGTAGTCATCTTATCAGGCTACAGCCCAGAAGTTGGCAAGCTATAAATCTCACCTCTCCAAACAATGAACCATCTAATTGAGAATAGGCAGGAAACATTCAGATTGATCAGATAAATTAGACTTTTATTATAGATAAGAATTAAGAGACATGCATACAATAATTTATCTTCAGCAACTTTAAGATATGTAGATTTCACTCCCATAATTCATCAGCCAGCACTAAAGTTGCTGAGATTGAAAACACTGCTGCAAACTTTAAAGTCTTGGATTTTTGAATCAATGGAGAATTAATGATTTGCTTAATAGTGTTGGATGACAGACATGTTTATATAATAGCCAACTTTAGCTTATAAATGCTGGTTGCCACCTAGCTAGATTCAGCCCTTACCTTTGCAGAGAGAAAACATTGGCATATAACTTCCATGAAAGTGTATATATTGCAATGTTACTGTGCTTTGGAGAAAAATTAACAGTAATAAGCCTCTTTTTTTTTAAAGCCCCTTAACTTCATTTCCCAAACAGCAAGACTGTTTTCTATTGTAGGTGCCTCTGCTGCAACAATGCTGATTTTTATTTTACCTGCTGCTTTTTATCTTCGGATTGTCAAGAAAGAGCCTTTGAGGTCACCTCAAAAGATTGGAGTGAGTCATCCAGATTTTTTCAATTATTGAGCTATGTTGTAGCTCTTCCTACTAATTAATTGTTTTTGCTATACTTCCCAATTACAGGCCCTGATTTTCCTCATTGTTGGCATAATCTTTATGTTTGGGAGCATGACTCTAATTCTCTTGGATTGGATTTACAACTCTTCACATTCCAATCAGCATTAATTTGGAAGGAAATTGTTTGTTTTTCTTTGCCATCGAAGTGGTTGAATTTCATTAGCCATGTGCAAGCAAACAAACAAAAGACTTTAGACTATAGAAGTGGACATTACTTCTAGTCAATGGTAAGATTCCAAAGACTTTGTTAATATCACTAAATGGACCTAAGATGAATTAAATCCCACTTTGGATTGGGAAGGATGGTTATTTATGCATTATTACCTGTGCCCATTTTTGGGGGACCAGAACAGAATAAAAATGTGAATTGTGAAGATGCCTGGATCTAATTATGTATATAGTACCCACAAAGACTGTTACTTTGGTTTTGATAACTACTATTTCTAGAAACTAGAAAAAAAAGTTGTCCAGAAGTGGAGATTATATATATTCACAGTACCAATAATCTATGTACATAAAGAAAAATGAAACTATTATTTTAAATGACTAACTATAACTTTTATAAGTACATTCAAAACAAGAGCCGAGGTGGCGCAGTGATTAGGGTGCAGTACTGCAGCTACCTCAGCTGACTGCTAGTTCAGCAGATCAGCAGATCAAATCTCACCGGCTCAAGATTGACTCAGCCTTCCATCCTTCCGAGGTGGGTAAAATGAGGACCCAGATTGTTGGGGGCAATATGCTAATGCAATATGCTAATATGCAATATGCTATATGCTAACTTTGTAAACCGCTTAGGGAGGGCTGTAAAGCACTATGAAGCAGTATAGAAGTCTAAATAATTTTTTTAAAAAAAATATATAAAAACAGCATCAATTTCTGAAAGTATTTCACTTACTCATCAATAAATTACATTAATTATAGGAGTGTCCACTACGGAAAGTGAGCAAATGTGATCTATTAAATAAATGAACTATTTATTATGCTAACTTTTAATAATATTGTTTATTACAAAAATTAACAACGGCTGTGGGATGAAAAAGGCCCCTTTTCTCTGCAGCTGTGGTTTATAGAGAGTATTCAGGTCTATGGATAGTTATAAATGACTATCAGAATTCTCCCATTTATGGAACTGTACTCAAAAGATAAATTAAATCTTAGCCAGCCAAAACTGTCCCTACTATTTACTGCTACCAAAGTATACTTATTATGACTTGTATTATGTTGTCAAAAATGAGCACTCTGTCCCACCAATAAATTTAAAAGTTTTTATAGTGAGTTTCTCTGTTTCTCGTGGCTAATAGATTAATCTTCAATATGATGTCAATAATTGCATAATAAGGATGTCTAATCATGACAACCGGAATGGGCTCAGATGCAGAAATAGGCTGGTTGTAGTTGGATTTCTATAACAAGTATATATAACATGTATCAAACTGATACTGCACATGTAATTTTGTTTTGATGTTAATTATTTAACAAACTGGAACTTGGTTTGTAATTTGTCTTCCACAGTAGTTCAAACTGATTTAACACAATCACCTAGAATATGAAAGCACACCAGCTAGTATTTGTATTTGATAATATAGACAGTACAGCACATTATAACCATTGATGTATTTGTTCTATATACTGTAAATATGTATGTACATAATGTTATTCTTTATCAAAAGTTCCTGCATGGTTTAATGTTTCGATTTTAATATATACAATAAGTTTCGATAGTTGTTGCTTTAATATTCCCAAGCGTGATACTATTTAGATTCAGCACTGTTTTAATGAGCTCTAAAAGCTTCATTTCTCCAATGCATTGTTAGAAATTTCTGAAAAGCCCAGGATAATACTAAAATAAAATGAAGCATCAAATGTTACTATAATAAATGATAATAAAATTAAAGGATGAAAGATTTATCTTTATTGATCTGTTGTACAAAGTGTCGTATTATTTTGAACTACATAAACTATACCTGCAATTTGGTTTAAGGGTTCACATTTATTTTCCACACCTATTGTGCTACTGATTATGACTTTGGTTAAGACTGACATATTTTCTAGATACTCTGATATGAAAAACAGTAGCTTTTACAGTATTAATCCCTGTTAGATCCCTGTTTATACAAATAAATAAATTACTGAGCTTTTATATTGTTAGGTTTGTCTATTTTCCATCATTCCCAGTATGTTGTACTGTCTTATTCAAGACCAAACTGATCTCTTGGCAAAGATTTGTTACATTTCAAAGCAAATGATTCCCTAAATTCTATTTCCTTTATTTTTTTGAATTTAGGGGATCATGTGCTCTGAAATAAAGGAAATTGTGTGTTAGATGTGGTTGGCAGGCATTTGGCAAGCTAAGCATAATTTTCAAGAACAACCTCTCCCTATGCCTAAAGAGAAAAAATATCGATCAGTATGTGCTATCTGCTCTAACATGGACACTAACCTTACAGCCGATACAAAAGCTATGAGTGGCGCAAAGAGCCGTGGAAAGATACAAGCTCGGCATTACAAGACAAGATAGAAAGTCCTGCACATGGATTAGAGAACAAATGAAAGTATACACAATACCATCAAGAGAGTAAAAGAATTGAAATGGAAATGGGATGGTCACATAGCAAGAGGAACTGATGGCAGGTGGACCAAGGCAGTTATAGAATGGATCCCACTTGATAAAAAGTGTCCATGAAAGAGAACTAAAACAAGATGGATCGACGAAATCAGCAAGTATTGCGGGCCCAATTGGCAAAAGAAAGCTCAGGACTGTATAGGTTGGAAACATGTGGAAGAGGCCTTCATCCTGCAATGGATAGACAATGGCTAAGAAGATGATGATGATGATGATCCCCTAAATTAAAATTCTGCTGAATTTTGCTTTCCAGAAATTTAAGTATGTTTGTACCTCCAACACTGAAAGCAATGATGTATAAAATACATAATTGTGGGCTATTTGTATTATCTTATTAAGAGGAGTATTTTAAAAGAAGATACAATGTTGTATTTTCTAATAGTCTGAAACTAATATCTTTAAATGTGCATATTGGACCATTACTATTGAATAAAATTTTTAGCACTGGGAAATGCATAAATGAACAGTTTATTAATTTCTGGTAAAGCTATAATTTTATTGCAAGGTATACAACTGTATAAAATATATTTTATTTAAGAATGAAGACTCCAAAAGCACAGTTTCACAATAGGGCACAATAATAGGGCACATTAGCATTTTCCCAACATTATTAAAATGAAAGATGCAAATTGAACTGGATGTTGATGATGATGATTATTTCTTTTATTCATTAAACATGAAACTCAGTCAACTGAACATTTAAAAATGTATCACAAATACGATTGGTGCTAATGGTTGATACGAGTTGCTGCCAGCATCCTAGGTATCAACGAAGTATCTTCTTAAAATATATGATGTTCTGAGTAACGTAGTTTTTTGCGGTTCTGCTGATGTTATTGCAGGAAGCTGCAATTTCTTGATATGTTTTTGCATTCTTGGACATGGTACCAAGTGCCCCAATGACAATGGGTATCACTGTTACATGTTTCATCCATAGCCGTGTAGTTTCGATGGCCAGGTCATGATATTTCATGAATTTTTTCCAGTTTTTTTTCTTTCACTCTGGTGTCTCCTGATACAGCAATATCAATAAAGTGCACACTTCGGCCCTCAACAACCATAATATCTGGCATGTTCCAAATGACGATCCGTCTGTATTAGAAAATCTCACAAGATCTTCACTGTCTCATTTTCAATAACTTTTTCCACTTTGTGCTCCCATGACTTTTTGGATACAGGTATGTTGTATTTTTTACATAATGACCAGTGGACTAATTTAGCAACTCAATCATGTCTAGCTTTGTAATCAGTTTGCGCGATTTTGCTGCACTCGCATATTAAGTGTGAAACACTTTCAACTTTGTCGTTGCAAAGTCAGCAGTTTGGATTGTCAGTGGATTTTTGTATCTTTGCTTTCATGGCATTAGTTTGTAGTGCTTGTTCTTGAGCAGCAAGTATTAAACCTTCTGTTTCTTTCTTGATGGTTCCTCTCTTAAGCCATGCCCATGTCTACCAAGAGCCTTGGTAGTACAGTGGTCTAAGGCACCCTGTTATTAAGCTGGTTATTAAGACCAGCTGCCTGCAATTACTGCAGGTTTGAATCTCGCCAAGGCTCAAGGTTGACTCAGCCTTCCATCCTTTCTAAGGTAGGTAAATTGAGGACCCAGTTGTGGGGGCAATAAGCTGACTTTGTATAAATATACAAAAGGATGAAGGCTATTGCTGAGCACATTGTAAGCCGCCCTGAGTCTCCGGAGAAGGGCGGCATATAAATCAAATTAAAAAAAAAAAGTTGTTATCACACTTTCCTTCAATGTTTTTCAAGTGGTGTCCATGCAGAGCTTTGGTTTTCCATCCATTTAATCTGTCATCCAACTGTTTTTCCTTATATTCTGCCTTTGTTTCTGTTGTTTTTATAATGTTCCCCGTTTTCACAGCCTGCAGCAATCTTTCTGTGCTTTGGTTCACATAATCATTCAAACTTCATTTTTCTTTTTCTACAGTTTGATGGATTTGCAATAGCCATCTGCCCCCTATTCTTCTTGGCAGGTACAACCTGTTGGTGTCACTTTGTGGATGTAAAGCATGGAACATATTCAAAAGTTTACATGTTTTCTGGGCCAGGTTTTCCAGTTCAGCCACAGTCCAGTTGATGATTCCAGCTGGGTAGCGTATCACTGGGACTGCCCATGTATTAATGGCTTTAATTATGTTTCCAACATTCAGTTTTGATTTTAATATTTTGCGGACCCTCCTGATGTAGTCCTTTGCATTGACTCTTTGACTTCCATTCAAGATGTTATCTGCTTCCAAAATGCCTAGGTATTTGTAACTGTCATCCTTTGCTAATGCTTTCACAATGCTTCCATTTCCCAGTTCTATTCCTTCTATTTTTTCCATTTTTCCTCGCTGCATGGATAGTATAGCACATTTTTCAAATCAATATTATTATTATTATTATTATTATTATTATTATTATTATTATTATTATTATTTATTGGTTAATCTTTAGTGAGATTCACAGCTTTGAGGCTGGTTAATAGCTCAGCAGCTCGAGTCCTAACCAAGGACCTAGGAACTGTTAAGGTATCGTCGGAGGATGTAAGCTGTTCCGAGTAAGGTGGTTTTTTGTAGAGTCAAAATGTTCAAGTCCGGCAAATTTAGAATTTCTAAATAGCGGGGTAGCCCTTTGGGTATTGCTCCGAGGGCTCCAATTACAATCGGGACAACACACGATTTCTTTTTCCACAGTCGCTCAACTTCAATTTGTAAGTCCCGGTACTTTGTGATTTTTTCTTGCTGCTTATCTTCAATTCGTGCATCACCATTATTATTATTATTATTATTATTATTATTATTATTATTATTATTATTATTATTATTATTTCATCAAAGGAGTGGCCAACAGTCCACTTTATTGGCTTCATGGGATGAGAATTTGTAGAAAAGTTTATGGATTTAATTTCTTAAAGTATGACTTCTCTTTAATGCCAATTGTGACCAAACCAATCAAGAGAAAATGGAGCTCAGGTTATAAATTGCTTACCAAATCCAATTTATTTCACTGATGTTGACCATTCAAGACCTAAATGATTTATGGTTGATCTGCCACAAAGAAGCCTGCCAGTTATTAAATCAGCAGGAGGGGCCCTTCTGAAGAGGGTTTAATCACTAATTCTTGAGTACTCAGGAGACTGCCTTCCCAAAGTTGGTTCCCAGGCCATGGACTGTGCTTCTCAGGAGATATCTTCACTGTTTAGGAAGATGGAAAACATCTCTCTTAATAAGTAATTATTTTAATAACTGAGTTTAATTTTGGTTTTGGTTTTGCTTTGGTTTATTCTTCATATTTTTTATTATTGTAAGCTGCCTTAGAAGGCAGAATATAAATTCAGTAACGGATAAGTGAACAAATCCAAGGTGTTCTGTTTTAGGAATCATTTCTAAAAGTGAAGAAGGCCAAAATAATGACTTTGTCTCAAGCAAACAAGCTTCTTTCAAAGGTAATTTTGGAGGATAATTCAGCCATCCATGTCCTTTTTCCTTCATTACATTAAAAAGTATACTTCATGATTTTCAATATTTTCTTTGTATTTTTACAGATTAATAGAAAATGATAATTTTAAAAGGCATTTACTATAGTAAATACTAGTAAATAAGACATTTTATAATTATGTTCAGTTATTTATTTTATTTATTTTATTTATTTGTTTCAATTTGTATACCGCCCTTCTCCAATAGGACTCAGGGCGGTGAACAGCCAAAATAAAAATAAAACATACAAAATTTAAAAACAGTTTAAAATAATTAAATATTTTTGGCCGCAATTTAAAACAAACCCAATTTAAAATCAGTTAAAATTAACCCAAAACTCTGGGATCAAGCCAGCCCGGCTAGTTGAAATAAATAAGTTATGCCAATATTACAATATGTTACATATTATCAAAGTTACTAAATGTTGGTATTCATGCTAAAGTTACAGATTAGATCCTTGGTTTGGTGTTCAAAGTTTCTGCTTTTCTTGCCTATTTTATTAAAAGCATAATTTTTATTATGCTGGTCTATGACTATAATAAGTGTTTGATTTGATTCATTTTCTGTTTTTTTAAAAAAATTGAAATGTTTTCAGCCAGTCCTACATAATTTAAGGCTATGATACAGGAAATACATTTGGAAACACACTGACTTGGCCAAAATAAGTAAGATGCAGTTTTATGATTTTTGCCTTCCAGTGACCATAGTAACACTTTTAAAAGCACTGCATTACCCAGTTATTTAAAATCTAAATACTATTTCCACTACATATACTTCATTACCCAAACATCTATTGTCTATTGACTAATTAAAATGGCACCATTTGTCAGTGATGTCATCATTATTTTAGTAAACTGCAGGGCTGAACAACACATCTTGATGAGAGCGCTTCATATGCTTTCCTCCAGTTATTGATGGAATGCAACATAATCTGGGCACATGAGAGATGGTACCCCTCCCTCTTTGATTGGCCTGCAGCTTTTACCAACCTACCTTCTGTATGTTTGGAACTAATCAGAAAGGACTGAATCTGTGCTTCAACATAAGAATTAACTTTCACCAGAGAGGTTCCCTCTCTTGTGGGAAAAATAATAAATTCACAGAATTGTAGAGTTGGAAAGGTTCATAAAGATCATCCAATCCTAACCATTGTGTAGGAATGCCAGAAAGACCCTTTCTAAGAGTGGCCACCCACCTCTTCAAAATTTCTATGTTAGGCACATGTAAATCCATTTTGATTCATTTTGACTAGAGAAGACTATGTAAGGAAAATAGGCAAAAATTATTTAAAATTGTTCAGGGAGAAGAAATAACAGATTTAAATTATGAAAAATTAGATTCAGTTGTGAGCCAGTTGGTGCAGTGGGTAAGATCTCAGGCTAGAATCTGGGAGACTATGAGTTCTAGTCCTGCCTTGGGCCCAAAGCTATCTGGGTGACCTTGGATCAGTCACTTTCTCTCAGGTCTAGGAAAGTGGCATTGGCAAACCACTTCTGAAAAACCTTGCCAAAAAAGCTTCAGGGACTTGTCCAGGCAGCCTCTGAGAGTTGAATACGAATGAACATAATGAATAAAAATCAGTTGGACATCAAAAAAACTTTTCATAACTATAAGAGCTGTTGAACAATGGAACAGACTATCTCTGAAAGTGATGGAATCTCTGATGGAGGTGTTTAAACAGTCAATAGATGGCCACCTCTCAAATAATGGAGTTAGACACTGTGCAGGAGGTGGAACAAGATTATCTCTAAAGTCTCTTCAAACCCTTCCATTCCATGATTGTTCCATCAAGCTCTGCAATCTTCTCCATCCCATATTTATTTTATTTATTTATTAGATTTCTATACCGCCCTACTCCCGAAGGACTCAGGGCGGTGCACAGCCAAACAATAAAAACACATACAATACAAAATTTAAAAAATAGAATAAAATCAAATTAAATAATTTTGGCCCCGACAAATTTAAAACCCCAAACTTT